CTGTGATGGGGGTGCAGACCATTATTATGCGGAACGCGATCCTAGAATGAATGGAGCTCGACCCTAGCCAAATAGGATCGCGGTATTGTTTAGCTGGGGGCTAGACTCAACATTATATGGGATCTCGTCCTTGTTGTCGACGGGGGCGCGATCTTAATAGACATGGGAGCGCGATCCCATGTTACATGTAACACGTTCCTATCAAATAGGGATCTTGAGCTCAATGTATCAAGTTCTCGCTCCTTATTCAAACGAGATCTCGCTCCCGAATCAAACGGGATCTCATTCCGTAAATACATGTAACGTGTTCCCGTTAAATAGGGATCTCGATCCCAATGTATCGGGATCTCGCTCCTTGTTCAAACAGGATCTCGATTCGTAACTTCTACGCTCACCGGAACTCGCTCCACGAGTTCCGGAGCTTCAGGCAGCCATGGATCTGACGTTCCCGCTCCCGGAACCGGAGCCACTCCCTCTCCCGCTCCCAGTAACTATGGTTTAGATCCATTACTCGTGGCATTCTGTAGATCCATCGAGTCACTAGTCGTGTCCCACTCATTGCTTCACCATGGTTTCCCTTTTGTAAATTATTTATCCTTCTAAAAGTTTGATTATTTCTTCCTTTCCAAAATCTCAGAAGCACAAGGGAAACAGCACACTATAAGGTGGTATGTTCATCAGACTAGTAATCATTCTTCTATGCTCTGTTATGAGCTGGGGAATGCTCATGACATCTCGTGTAGGGTAGAATGGGATAGAACATGCCCACATATGCACCATGTGAACTTTCGACATTGTGGATGGTTCAGAGTCTCCTCTTCATTTATCCATATAAAATGAAAACTTGGTAATCCTAAGCCCCTACAATGTAAGTAATTGTTTGTGAGTACTTCGTTAATTTATCTAAACAGAAAATGTAGAGTCTCTCGCGAGGAATTCTTTGTTGGAAATCAACTTGCTTTCACATGCAGCTTCTTATTCATTAATTTGATAGATGCTGAATATTTTTTCAATACCACATCTTAATAAGAGCTTTTAGATTTTATTTGTTTTGCTTCTTGGTTAGTAATGATACCCTCCATTTTTCGTAGGTTATTAGAACGAGAAGAATGTATAGAAACTGCATCGAGGTTAACCATCCCCTTTGTGTTAACTTGTGTTAACTATAAAATTCAACAAGCTCATGGTTGGATATCTAGTGGAAACACATGGTTGAATTGCTAACAAACTTTCACTCTCCAGTGGTTATGGATGGATGAATCTTTAACAAATGTTAATGCATTGATAATTTGATGTTTCTAAAGAAACACTTAGCTCCAATTTCTTTTCTCCTCGAAAACATTTCTTTTCTTTCTTTAGTTTTCTATATCCAAATCTGTCTCATTGCTTTTGCTACTAATTTCTTCTTCCTACTTTTACTAAAGTAGGACTCAGCATATCAATATTTTAATATTGAGGTTTGCACATGATATAATTCTTAATGGTGTGACAATCCACCATATTTTGGTGGAAGTTAAACTTTTGATAATTCTGCGTTTATGGAAAGTTCCTATTTCAATCTTTCTGCAGACATGCCACTGTGGAAGAAATAGCTAGCCTTGGTGCATCAGTATATACTTGTTCTCGCAATGAAGACGATCTTAACAAGTGCTTGAATGAGTGGAAGGGGATGGGATTGGATGCTCATGGTTCAGTTTGTGATTTGTCATCACGTCCTGATCGGGAGAAATTGATCGATGCTGTATCCTCACATTTTAAAGGGAAACTCAATATCCTTGTAAGAGCCATATCTTTCTTTCTATGCTGCAATGGCTTCCAAATTTGTAAATGCTTTGCTTGCTTCACTTGTAACTTTGAAAATGATGGGATTACACATACTTTGTTTTATTTTCAAAACCCAAAATGTATCTCCCAGGCCCACTTGTAAGAAATGATACATTTCTTATGTACAATATGATGCAATTTTCCCCATCTTTTTATATCTTCAATGGTTTGATGGGAAAGAAGAGAACTTGCTCACATGACTATAATACGGAAGATTCTAAATGCACTGATGATAAACTTCTCCCACTCTTTTTATCTAGCAAGGCATTGTAATGCTGATTTACTACCTTCCCATATATGTGCATCTGGCTTGGGGCTGTTCTAACCACATTCTGAATTTTCTGAGCTTTCCAAGCTTCTCTAGATTTTTTGCTCTCATGTATTTATATGGAAACTGACCTGCGCTGTTGATTTAAACAGCATTGACCGACACCCCAAAAGGCAAAATTCACTTGAGGAGGATTCTTAGAACCTGAAATTTGGCATACATATCTTGATTCATGTTATGATCAATTCTTTTTAAAAAAAAAGAAAAAAAAAAGGAGCTATGGAAATTTTAGATCTTATTGACATGTGGACGGTCCAAAGTTGTTAGATCAGGAGCCACTGTCCAAAAGATCGAAACTATGTTATATTTCCTGTAAACACCAATACGAGCTGGATGTATATTGTGTTTTAGATACACACTCTTGTATATTCAAAATATTTAGAAATCTATTATAATAACTTATTTGAATGCTTGATGCATCATCGTGGAGAATTTTACATAGTTATCTGCCGCTTCTCCTTCTCGAATTTCATACGGGAAAAAATGAGAGCGCCCTAGTGACAAATACTCCAAATAGTAACCTCCAAGCCCTTTCTAACTATCAAATCACGTTTTTGCTCTTTACATCACATATCTTTGTAAAGTATACTTATAGCACCCTGTTTGTGTGTTACGCCTTTAAATTTGGGTACACTACTTCTCATAGAATTCATTGTTTTATTGTTCTTTGGAGCATCTCACTGTTCAGTTCCATGCTAATGCGGATACTTAGTCCAATCTGGTTTGCTGGCTTTAGGTAAATAATGTTGGGACAAACATTAGAAAACCTACAATGCAGTATACAGCTGCGGAATTCTCCTTTTTAATGGCAACCAACTTGGAATCTGCTTACCACATGTGTCAACTCACACACCCTCTTTTAAAAGCATCAGGAGTGGGAAGCATTGTATTCATCTCTTCTGTTGCTGGGGTGGTGGCTCTACATACTGGTACCATATATGCAGCAACTAAAGGTGACTTCCTTCAAATCTGATATTCCCTATATATCTGATTGGAAGAATATACTATAGTACAATAGTGGACCAGAACTCATTGGGGTGATTTCGATCTAATTTGTTGGACGGTAGATAGTTTCAAAAAGCAGTCCGCCAAGTGCCTAGGCAGGCTAGGGGGCTTGGACGCATTGCCTAGGCCTAGGTGGACCAACTAGGCAGGTGCCTAGGGTACCTGGGTGGGTGCTCAGGGACTGCACCTATCTAGGTGCAAAAATGCCCATCGTTTGGAGCAGTTTTTTGGTGTTTTTTGTTTGGATTATTGATGTATTTTTTTATACAAAATCTGAACCTAGGGACCGCCCCAGTGTTTTCAGAAACATTGAGGAAATGTGGAATTCTTTGTGTCCATGTGTTGTTTTGTTTGGTTCGAGTCTCCGTCCATTACCATGATTACCCCCCTGACCTCTACCAAGCCAAGTTCCATCTAGTTGTAGCATATTTTCTTTACCTTCACATATGGCTTCTTTGTTATTTTTCTTTGGGTTTTTTTCTTAGGTGCATTGAATCAAATTACAAAAAATCTTGCTTGTGAATGGGCAAAGGACAATATTCGGACCAACAGTGTGGCCCCTTGGTTTATAAAGACACCACTTGTGGAAGATGTGAGAACTTTTCTCAGCTAATACTTGTAGCAGTGGTAATAGTAGTAGAAAGTGAGGCTATTTATGACAATTTTTTATCTGTCTTTCTTGTGCAGTTCTTACAAGTGAAGGGGATTACGGAAGGGATAATAGCAAGAACCCCCATGCGTCGCATGGGGGAGCCTGAGGAAGTTTCTTCTCTAGTGGCATTTCTATGCCTTCCGGCTGCGTCGTATATCACAGGCCAAATCATTTGTGTTGATGGTGGAATGACCGTCAATGGCTGGTATCCATGAGGCAAACAATCAAGTGTACTACCTTACTGGTACTCTCTCTCTCTCTCACACATTCATAATGCAGGCGTAAGTTACTTAATGGTTGAATCCAAAGTTTTAGAACTCCGAATGGGGTTTGGACTATCTCTCCACTGTTCTCGGACAAATATAATATTCAAAAATGAAAAATATTAAAAAAATAAAGTTAAGCACCAGTTCTCGTAACCTGATTACCGATTCTATTGGCATAATCACCCTGGTCTCGGACAAAACCCCGATTGGACAGATGCCCTTTTCCATAGAGGAACCGGGTCGGTCCCTTGCTGAATCTGATCTGGATCTTCGACGGACCCTAGGTGAGGATAAGACAATGAACTCTTTAAGTATACTGGCCATGTTATTTTTTGGTGCTTGTTTCCAATAAATATTGTACAGAGCTTAATTATTATGCCGCTGAAGTAGGGCTTGCTTCGTAAATTTGAGTTCACTTTTTATTTTTATTTTTTAATATGGATGGGGCACATGAGTCCCGTTTGAGGAGGCAAAATCAAACTTGATTAAAGGATTAGAAATTAGAATGAGGCCTCACGGCAATACAGTCATAGGAATGGCAATGGTCGGGTTGGGGTCGGGACCCGAAAACATACTTATGGGACCCAGACCTGGACCCGAACCAAATTGATTTTTGCAAGAATCCGGACCCTACCCAAAAATCAATTTAGGTTGGGTGGCTCTCAACCAACCCGATCTGTATTGTAATATTAGTAGGTTGAAGTTTTGATTAATTAGATTTTTGTATGAGGTATTGTATTATTTAAGGAAAAATGGTTTGATAGGGCTATAGCTCTATCAAAATAAGTTAAGCCTCACCTCTTAAGTCATCAGAAATTGCAATTCAATTGTTGAAAAAACGATTAAATCGATTATCTCAACTTGAACACTATGGTTGTGAAAAAAAATAGGATTTCAATTTCTAAAAATAGCGTACATTACAAGAAATCATCTAGACCATCAATTTCCCCATAAAAATAAGTGTTGACAGATCTACAAGATCTTTATTATTCTATGACTTTCAAATTTTATTTTCGGTGTTAGAAATTGATTTTAGAGTTATCATGAAGATTTTTGATACTCAAAGTGCTTTCCGGATGAGGATTTGAGGTGAGGTTTTATTTTGTTTTTATAAAGCCTAGCCCTTATAGAAACTGCATCCTTACTTTAATTAAGGTTTGATCAATTAAGTTGTTATTAGATATTTGATTAATATGTAGTACTCTGAATATATTTGGGTTGGGTCGATTTGGGTCCACCTAGACCCAAAACTGAGCCAAATGCTTATGGGGTCCAGGTTATTGGACCCCAGACTTGACCTGCCGGCTCAATGCTTGGATCCGTATCCAACCGGGTTCCGGTCAACCCCCCTCGGTTGGCGGGTCGACTTGAATGGATTGCAGTCTTATGACACAATAATTGGTAAAATTATGCTTCAATTCCCATAGTGTGAGCACCTTAGGATATAGAAATGTCTAAAATTGTTGAGTACAATGATAAATTATTTCATAGTGTGAGTATTCTAATATAACCCATATTTAAATCCTCTTCAAAGATGAATTCCTACAAAGATGAATTTCTAGCATGGTTGTGAACCTGCGATACTCTTTGGAACCCTGAATCATAAATCAGTAACCTTTTTAATGGCATGCAGATCTATTTTTAAAAGAAACCGAAAAATTCAAGGTTAAAAACTCGTTCAAATTTTCCATACAAAACTCGTGGATTCATGCATGGCACTTGATACACCATTCTAAGGCTTAGAACACTGTCACCGTGCAGGCATTATGGCTGTGACAAAAAACAGTTTTAAGTCCATAACGTAGTAGAAAGCATGATACAAGATAAATTATAAGCTTTCAGTCATTATAGTTACCGTGTCCATGATTGCTCATCCTTTTTCTGGTCATTTGGAACCCTATTTCATTTGCTATTAAATTGACGATACCTGGAGTCGACAGTGCTCCAATGGTTAATTTCATTTGCGATCCCTGGGGATATATTTAGGAGAGGCAGCAGGTCCAGTGGGGCAGGGTCGGGACCCGAAAACCTACCTATGGGAGTTGGATCCGGACCAGACCGAGGCCTGCGTTTCCGTATCCAGACCTGATTAGAATTGATTTGGGAGGACCCAGACGTGACCCAAAAATCAACCTGACTAATATTAGTAGGTTAAAGTTTTGTTTAGTGATATTGTATTACTTTAATTAAGGTTTTGTTACATTAAGTTTACCAAATATATTCATGCCGTTCTAGTCAGGTCTACCTGGACCAGGAATTGACCTGAATGCCACTCGGTTCCAGACAATCGGATCCAAACCTTCAGGTCCAATGCCTAGACCCATACCCAACCCAGTTCTGGACAGCCAACCAAGTCGGCAGGTAGACCTGACCCGATTGATAGTCCTAGATCAATTGGCCCCTGCGAATCGTTTGAACCCTATAATAAAAATGTCACAAAGGAATGAAAATCATGAGCTGATCTTAGGGAAGGAACTAGGAGATCACCTCAAGGATGCATTTGGCATCCAAGTCTCACAGACCGACCATGTACCATATTCAGAAAGTGGAACGCATTAGATGTCTGCTCTCCAGTTGGGCGATAAGAGCAATCACTCATTCATAATTAGGGCTGCCAATGATTAGGGCCGTGCTTTGGGCTTCCGGGGCCATTTTGGGCCCTATCTGGGCCTGTTATGGGCTTTGGTTTGGGACACAATAGAGGACACCCATCGGGCTGGTGATATCCCAGCCTGAAATGGCCCGGAAAGCCTGAAAACCTGCCAAGGGGCAGGGCTGGCATGGAAATATTTTAGCCCGGCCCGACCCATAAAGCCCTTTCTTTCTTTCTTTTGTTTGAAAAAATAAAAAAACTTCACTTTTCAAAATTTTATTCTTTTTAGTTAGCCAAAAATAAAAAATAAATGCTAATATATTTTAAAAAATTAAAACCCAAATCTCTTTCTCTAGAAACCCAATTCCTCTTTTTCTCTTTAAAAATCCATTCTCTCAAAATCTCTTTTTTTCTCTCTAAAACCCATTTTTTCTATCTAGAAACCCAATCTCTCTTTCTCTCTCTAAAAACTCATTCTCTTTGTAAAAACCCATTTTCTCTATAAATCCAATTCTCTTTCTCTCTCTAAAAACCCATTCTTTCTCCCTCTCTCTCTCTAAAAACCCAAAAAAAAGTTTATCTATCTAAAAATCCATTTTTTCTCTAGAAACCCAATCTCACTCTAAACACCCATTCTCTCTATCTAGAAACCAATTTCTCTTACTCTCTCTAAAAAACCCATTATGTCTATCTAGAAACCTAATCTCTATTTATCTCTCAAGAAACCCAATCTCTCTCTAAACATGCATTCTCTCTCTACAAATCGAATCTCTCTTTCTCTGTAGAAACCCAACCTTTCTTTTTCTCTCTAATTTTTCTAAAAAGTATTTTAATATATGTTTTTTTTGGCTTAATACAAACAAGAAAATTTTGAATGGTAAGATATAAAAAAGCCTCTTAATGGGCCGGCAGAGGCCCAACCTAATAATATTTTGGGCCCGGTTGGTTTGGCCTTTAATACTACATTTCCAGTCCGGGCCCAAGTAGTTCTGGGCTTTACCGGTCCTTGAGCCGGCTGGTCCGAGCGGCAGCCCTTGTTGTGGTTGTGCGGATGGCGTAAAAGGCCAACAACTGTGTTCTCAATGCACGTGCGAGTTAGTGCACGTGTGCAACGCCCCATGTGTGATACCTAGGAGGGGTATGGCTTACAGCTGCATGTTACCAGGAGCCTCATTTTCTCCCAAAGTTGGGCGTATGAGGCCGCACGGTCCATTGAACCACAATTGTATGGCCATCACCATAGATCACATGTACAGCGGCACACCGTACAGTGCAACCATGCCAATATTGGGTGCTTCTTCGGCCTTATAGAGACCTTATGAGGCCTTAGAGAAACAAAATCAAGCCCATCTTTTAGAAGAGCATAACTTTGCATCCGGGTATCAATTTTCGACACATTATACATGTTTTTGCGGTAGCTCGAAAAGCACATAATACCACTTTTTTATTACGCTCCTAAATCCTAATATGCCGTTTTGTCCTTGGAAATTTGTTATGTTTTTTTTTTTTATAAGGGATTGTATACAAATGAGACTACTTATTTTTAATACAAGGCGGTCACAATTACTTTCAACCACCCCCATGTGAAATTTGATAGTTTGGGTGGATTACAAAAGTTCAAGAATTTTTTTTTTTAAAGTATGAACTTGGTTAATGGAATAAATGAAGCCACCCTAATTTCACACCCATTGGTCAAAATTAACGGTGACCACCCTGCACCAAAGGTAAATGGTCTCATATTATAGTTTTCGCATTTGTAATATGTATGCCATCCTTAACGGTAACTCGATAGGCAACCTGAATTGTGTTTTAAGGTAGGATTTTGCATCAAGGATGCAAACACGCACATGATGATGAGGATCAGACAGTCTTGCCTCCAAAATCTGGCATGATGCTGATTACTTGTATTGGACCCTTCTGGTTGTGCAAATTTTTGCTTCAAGTTGTCTTAGAAGAGTATGTTGACCCTTGGAGACTAAAGAGAGTGGTACACATTTGACCATTTAAACCTCATTTCCTATATTGTTTACTGTGTTTTCGTTCTTTTCACGAGTACAAACTGCAATGGCTTCAAAGATTGTGATTATCAACATCCTTAAAGGTAAGGCCGTGTAACACTATAAGATCCAATACTTGCTTGATGAGCAGGGTGTACTGTAACTAGGACATTTGACCTTCAATATGACCCCTCCCAATAAAGGAACACCTTACTAACATACATTATGGTATGGAAGCTCACCAGACATGTCTTAAAAGGGATCATTGCACATGCCTCACGATGTTGAATGGTGAATGGGCTTATTTGGTCAGTTTGAGAACTTTCTGGCGACCAAAGAAATGTGATATGCTCTGCAGTTTCGATTTGTCGACACCTTAGCCACTAGAAAGCGAGTGGTCACATTGACATTTAAAACATATAAAATGCCACAAAATATATTCATGTGATAGATAATTTGATAAGAATATCGTAAATGATACATGACCTATTGTTGTCGGTAAACTTCTTGAATGATGACCAACAGATTGACTGTTCTCGTGGGCACGACAAAAGAGTAAATAGTTTTGCCCATTTATCTCGTCTTCTAGATCTAGAGGTAGTCCTACTCTTGTAAACCTCATATTTGAACCTTGTTTATTGGAAAATGCCGCAATTACTAAATAAAACATCGTTTGCTCCATTAGAAGTACTCAAGAATGACTGCTTCAGAATAGGTGGTCCGTCCAAACTGGGCCTATAAACAATGACTGTTATATATATATATACACGAGGTTGTAGTTCCACAAATAACACATCGACTTTTTTAGTTTGATGGCATATATCTAACACATCGTTTAAGGCAATCTCAAAACGTAACACATCTTAAGATAATGTCAAATCTACACTGCCCAAATAAAATAGACGGTGTAGATTGCTGCACCTTACTATTGCAAGAATGGTTGCAACTTTATATATGTAGTCGTGATCCCCTTTAAATATCTCAATATACATTGATAAAGCGACCTTCCCACTTCACCCATTTAGTTCTTCCTGATTCATAACTGCAAAAAGCATAATCTTTTATGTCATACAGTTAAATAACAATGAGAAAATGTGACAATCAAGGTTTTAAAAAACAGATTAATGACCTAGATCATCTATCTCGAACGCCGGTTCAAATTGATGGATCAGATTGGAGAATCAGCTGGTTTTAGTTTTAGAAAAATTCAAAGAATCACAAAAATTTCTTTAAAATCTAATTTTTTTAGATTTTTTTTTAAAAAGGTATTAAATTATAAATTTTCATTATTTTACATAAAATATATAAAAAGTCACCATAATTTTGGTGCAAAAAGTTCTTGGGATTATCTCAAAATCTACTTTCATATCTAAATACAAAATTTTAAATGCAAAAAATAGTTAAAATCAAATAGATCTATAAACATATATAAATCTTGAAAATGGATGGTCTAAATAATTTGTTGCAAGATGCACTATTTCTGGGACTTAAAATCTTTATTTTTTCCATATACATACATCTCAATGTTAAGATGATCAATTAGAGGGTTTTTTGATATTTGAATAACTTTTTTTTTTTTTAATGAATTTTTGAGATGTATCTTTAATTCTACATTTTAAAGTTGCAACCTTATATAAACTTTTTCATAACCCGTCTCTTTTCTGAGCATTTGTTGTCCATCAATTTCACTTCACAGCCAACAATTCATCTTCCCCACTTTCAATTATCTATATTTGTTATTGAAATTATATCTCGTGCCACTTGAATCAATTCAAAACATATAACCAATACATTCTCGTGGTATTCTAAGTTTGGGCACGTTTACTTCTACATCCCTAGTCACCAATTTGGTAGATTTTTGTAATATGAAATTTCAGGAACTCACTTAAAAATCAATAGATAATTATTTTAAAAAAAAAATGAAAATTGAATTTACTAATACTTAGATCTTACATTCTAAAAATTCTCTAGGTTCATAAGGATCCAGAGCGTCCGGACCAATTCCCGATCAGGATCGGCTGGTTTCAATCCAGATCACCGATTTTTCAAACACTAGCGACACGACAATTTTTAAAGGTAAGAAGCATACGGGCGCAAAAATCTCTAATAGTAACGAGGAAAAGAAAATGTAGAAACTATTAAACAGTCCTGAATTTTTTTTCTTTTTATGCTTTCAAGTTCTGACAAGCACAGAGTTTACACCATGTCGTACGAATTATAGTGAAGCAACCCAAGCCAAAAATCAGTTTGATAAAACCTTTGTCAAGGTGCCCTGCAGTGTTGCGATTGAATCGATAGCAGATTTTGTAAACCAGCTGATGCCAACCTTGATTCGATGTTCATCAGTGGGCAGTCTATACAAGTATGCAAGCTTTCTTGCTGCAATTCAAACCAGAGAAACGTATAAAAAATGTTAATATTTGAGAAACTTCATGGTTCAACAATTGATAGTAGCTCCTACCGGTATGACCAACAAGGCCCTCCAAGGTCAATCCCTCTAGGAAGCTTGGGGAAACCGCGGCATCATATTTTCCAAGGGTTATCATCTCTCCCAGATTTTGGAACCTGCCAATTGGTAACGGTTTCAACCACATCCACAAGACAACCTCATTTTTTCTTCAAAATCCAACAGTGAGATATGGCTTCCTGCTCTTTCAAAAGTAAGAATCGGTGGATGTGCATGAGAATCGGTGGAAGTGCATGTGTGTGCGTGCATGAGTGAGAGATTCTGGGCCGTGGAGGGATATAATCACATGAAATTCATATATGTAGGGGCTAAACAAGCATACAAAGAATCATATTGCTTAAGGTTAGAACCCAGACCTAAAAGGCAGTAAAGGCCGATTGTTGATTGCCGCCCAAAGATTCCACCCAGCAAAATCAGCTTGTTGAAAAGCAACCTAATCAAAATACACATATACTTTTAGAAAACACCTAGCAGAAAATGGTGAAATAAAACACATAGTACAAACTGTACGATAGGAAACTACTCTCTTAAGAAAAAGTATACAATGAGACCATTTATCTTTGATACAAGGTGGTCACAATTAATCTTGACAATTGGATGTGAAATTAGATGGCTGCATTTATTTCATTGACCAAGCTCAAACTTCGAAAAAAAATTTCTCGAACTTCGTAACACACCCAAGATACCAGATTCCACATTGGATGGTTGTACACAATTGTGAGCACCTTTCTATAACCAGTGTTTTAAAAAAGCCTAATAGGTCAGGTGAACTGGCCATTAGCTGCGCCAGTCTGGATCGGCCGAATTGAGTGATCTATAGATCAGCCAAACCAGTGATCCTAAGAAATGAAGCCAAAACAAAAAAAACCGAAAAAATTCTGAAAAGGCTGAATAAAAGGGAAAATTAGGGAAACTATTATAAAACTTCTAAGGGTGCGGTTTGTATAAAGCCTAGGCTCTAAACAATCAAATTAGAGCCTACCTTCAAATAGTGTCGATAAATGTGGTTTCAATACCGGAAATCTATGTGATAGCCTTAAAATATATTTTTATGTTTATTTATAAAGTTTAAAGCTTCAAAAATAGTGTTGATCAACTGATCTATGAAAACTTGAAAATCTTGAAAATTGACAGTCCAAAAAAGCATTACAAAATACACTATTTCCAAAACTTGAAATCCATTTTTTTCGCATGTCCATCCATCTTGATGTCGAGATGATCAATTCGAGGATATCTGGGCATCAAAACAACCACTTCTAGTGAAATTTTTGAGGTAGGCTCAAAGTTGATTGTTTAGAGCCTTGGCTCTATATAAACTTTTCCCAACTTCTAATCATTCAAGAATGGGGCTGGGGTATCACTTTGAGTCCTAATTAAAGGTCACGGCTCCCATTTTCACTAATACCTACAAAAAATTGATGCTTTCCAAAATGGGTAGGGGCCTATAATCCCCACCATCTACCAAAAAAAAAAAACCTTATAATCATTATCAGCAAACAATTTAAGTTTGGAAAAATATGATTTAAATCAGTTTTACTTCAAAATCAATTGAAAGCAAGAAAAATGATAACATGGTTGCAGATTTGATAAAATATAAAATGATCATCAAAAGTTCAAGGTTCAAACAATCACTCCAATGATTTTGAATCATTTGACAAACATAAAAACCTTTTGAAAGAAATCTAATTAAAAAAAAATAGAAAAACTGACTTAAAAAGAATATGATTTTGGGCCCAAAATTCAATATTTCATAAACCCCAAATTTGAAGAATTTGACTTTGATGAGAAAGGGCTCCAATCCAGAAAGCAGATATGCATATCTTGTAGAGAGTTCAAAGATGAAGATTTTAGAACAAATTTCAATAAACATATCTGAGAAATGAGGTAAAACAAGAACATTTGGCAGATTTTCATAACATATTTCTCTCCATCGATTTCTTTTTTTTTTTTCTGGCACAAATCTTCTATATAGATCAAAGAGAGCATTAAAAAACAAAAAAAAAAATGAAATGGGGCAGAAATAAAAAAACTCGATCGAGGGGTATTTAAAAAAAAAAAAATGGGGCCAAATCACCAGTTCTTGGAGGGAATTGGAACGGTCCCGACCGAATCCAATCCAGATTGGTGATTCCCAATCTACATTAGCGATTCCCAATCCGGTTCAGCATTTTCTAAAACGCTGCATTTAATGTTAGGGCCTGAATGAACTCCAATTTCTATAGTTGCCTGAAAATCCCATAAAACGAAGAAGACAGTAAAATACCTGAGCTGTAGCCGGAAGGAGCCTACCAGAAGAATCCCTTAAAGCAGCAGAATCACCAATGGCAAATATTCGTGGATGGCCCTTGACCCGAAGGTTCTCATCAGTCTCAGTTTGGCCCCTTGCATTTAAAGGGAACACATTTGAATATTCACAAGGATCAGAAGGAGGTACAAGGGGTTTCGATCCCACAGTCCATAGGACAAGATCTGCTTCCAGACTCTTACTCTGCAGACGTTTTTGAGCAGGCCGAAGTTCCAATATGTATGCCTCAGATAATTGCTCAGAAGAAGCATCTTTTCTGGAGGTTTCCAAGGAAGTAAACATATCACTAGCTTTTCTTACACAACTCACGTAATAGCCCAGGAAAAACCGAACATTCCTGGATGTGAGAACCTGAATGAACCAGCAAAAGACTTTATTACGTTTTCAAAACAAATTTAAAACAAAAACTATTATGTTTGAACCGTCAAGTTAAACATCTCCAAAGGAAATGGTGTCATTCTTTTGGCTTTTGTTCAAATTTGGAAGTAGCTTGAATATCCCAAAAATACTAGAAAACTGTTTCAGTGCATTTTGCATTACAAAAACTAGCAAGAAAGTTTACTATAGCCTAATGAAGTGTGGAAAACCCTAGTCAAATGAGGTCATCACTGCGATAAAATATTGGTTGATGATATAGAGAGAGTGCATGAAAGAAACTAGCAGCATGTGGTTTAAGTCGGTAATCTATAAAACATCTATAAGAAATTTTGCTTCATCAGGTTTGGAGTTACTTTTGAAGCAGCTTCCCGATTTCCAGCTGGAGCATTAGGACAGATGGTGTTCTCGACATTGATTACTTGAACTAATCCTTTTTCCAGTAATCTCTCTGATATAGTTGCAGCAAGCTCAACCCCACAGTAGCCAGACCCAACAACAGCCACCCGTATTGGTAATGAATCCTTACCGAACTTCCTTCTTTCCAATTTTTTCAGCTCATTATCTACCTTCTGCGAGCCAATCAAGGGCATGAAAGAAAATATAAATATGAAATAAAGTAATCACATTAAACATGTGGAAAAGGATGATCGTCCATTAGCTAGACTCATCAGCACTGCCCGGAAGTTATAAAAGAAATATATCAGCATTGGATGGAAAAATATGATTGCCATAACATCAATAGTGCTGGAATCTATGAGAGCAAAAAGATCTGTATGGTATCATGGGCAATCTAGTACATATCATAATCACCACACATTTCTTAATTACTCAAAAGAGTCCTCACACATTTATCAAGGACAAACTGTAGTACTGATCTGCATAGTAAAGCCAGTTTCAAGGATGAAAATGTTGTCAAGCAGGATTCATGAGCTTTTGGACCGATTAATTGCTAAATACATGCCATCATCATCCAAACCTTATCCCAATTATTTAGGGTCGGCCATATGAATTTTGTTCCTTCATTCTTCTCTATCAAGGGTCATACCCTCAATAAGACATAGGTTGAGGATTCATGACAAGATGTGACAAAGTTTTATACTGGCTGCCTACCTACCCAACACAACCCACCTCCTTGACCCACGCTTGGGACGGGTTAAGGGAAAGTTTAACATCCTCAACCTTATTAGACCATGCTAAATACATGTACATCATTAATAATTGCATGAAGAGGTAATGTTCATCTTGCTAGCCATGTACTCACAAGTTAATGTAATTGACTCACACGTTAATGTAATTGTATTTGTTAAGAGATAAATTTATTTGTTATGTAACTATGCAATCATAATTTAGTCAAATTATTTAGGACGGGTACTTTTTTATAAATCTGCCCTTACTTTGCCCATATATATAGGGTAAGGCATGCCTCAAAAACCCATTAAAAACTGCAGTTTTGATACTGGAAAACCCTTAAATCAACCGTCTCAACTTCAAGATATATGGATATAAAACATAGAAGGATTTTAAGTCAAAAAAATAGTGCATTTTGTAACACATTATCAGAACCGCTTATTTTCAAGTGTTTATATATCTGCCCGATCTACACCATTTTAGGAGCTCTAAATTTCATAACTAGAGTTAAAAATGAATTTTTAGGTCATCCTTCAAACTTACATCTTGATTGTTTAGAGGTGTGCTTTATTTGTTTAAGGTCGACACCTCATACAAACAGCACCCACCCACACATGCCTACGCGCGCGCACAGACACGCACACAAAGGCTAAGGAAAGAATGGGTTGTGAAGGGTGGATTTATTTAATGTTTTTTCTAATAAGTTGACTATTATATTAGATAGTAAAAAGGAGCACAATGAAGGGCATATAAAAAAATAGGCAACCCTAAAATGGATGCCTTGGACAAAAACCTACAAGGGGCCCAAAATATGCTCTACATCAAAAAATGAGAAAGGGATGCAGGCTAAAAATTTCTTACGGTCCCCAAGTGCTGTTGAGGCTTGAGCCCTTCTCTAGTTAGAGCATTGGCGGCATCATTGGCTTCCCTAAAAGTGTGCCTCTAAGTAACTCGAAGGGTCCTGGTGATGAGTGATATTTCATCAAAAATGGGATCAAATCTCCAGGGGCAAGGAGCAGCCCCAGCAGCCCAGTTATTAATATTGCTATGGTCGCCTTCAGCAACCAAGTCAAAGTTCCAGCTAGGGTCAAATCTGCACCTTGAGCAAGGCCAAGGCCTACGTAGTGGTGGAGTCCGACATGCCAATGGGTAAGGAGAAGGAAAGAAGAGTAGAACCTTTGGAATTTCTAAAAATCTGTCCAACACCAGAGGGACCAGGGTTGCCAAGGGAGCAAAAATCAAAATTATGTTTGATTTGCCCATATTCAGGTAGTTTCCACAAAGAGGATGATGATATCCTTAGGGCCCTAAGATTCAAGAGGATTTGCCTTTTAAGGTAGAGGTCAGCAAAAGAGAAGTCTCTGAAATTCTGTGGTTCTTGGCCCAAAAAAGGAGACTAACGTACACCATTTGTCAATTAAGTGAGGATATAGGCTTTCTCCTTTCTGAAAATATGGCTATTCCTTGCGAGCCATATGGTCCACAGAATGGCCGCCATCGATGCTCTCCATAGAAAGTAATCAAGCAAGTCCAAGGGGTTTGAAGGTAGGTAGAAAAGAGATGGGGAATCAATTGAGGGGTAACCCAATTCCAATTGAACAGATTGAGGACATCGGACCACATGGCAGATGCAATTTCACAATGAATGAAAAAGATGGGCATCGGTTTCTTTAGTCTTTATGCACATAGTGCATCTGTTGGGTAGGGAGAGTCCTCTTCTCTGGAGTTGATCAAGTGTAAGGGCTCTTTCGTGGAGTGTAACCCAGCTAGAGACTTGAATCTTGGGGGGAATAGCAAGGAACCAAGCTTTGGCAACAACAGAGAGGGAACCATTAGAGGGGGTGGGTGGCAAGTTGATCGCTCGATAAAAGATGATCACTGAGAAAACCCCAGAAGCGGCTGGTAACCAAATGATCTTATCCTCCCCAAAGTTGGAAGAAAAATTGTAGCTAGAGTGGCTGATAACGTCGAGAGATCTCGTATCTCAACGTCTGTGAGAGGCCTCCTGAAGTTGGGATTCCAAATTCCGGAGGGCCCAAAGCTAACAAAACTGTCGGCCACCGTAGAGAGGGGGTCAACAGCAAGACGGTAAAGGGTAGGGAATTGGTCCTTCAGTGGGGTGTCACCTACCCAAGTGTCAGACCAGAAGCAAACTCAGTTAGCCAACCTTGGCGAAATTGCACCTTGGCCAAGAAAAGGTTGTGACTGTGGACAAGGGAGCTCCAGAAGCCTGAAATACAGCCATTAGTTCTACAAGAGGAAAGCCATGCATGGTCCTCACGGCAGTACTTGCAAGATATGACCTCTCTCCAAAGGTGATGGGGTTGGGTGGTGCAACTCCACCACCATTTGCCAAGCAATGCAATGTTGATGGCTCTTAAGTTTCTAACGCCAGGCCCCACTTGTTATATGGGTGAACACACGTTGGCCCAAGAAACGAGATGGAATTTATGGCCTCCTTCACCCGACCACAAGAAATCCCTCATGAGCTTTTCCAATATAGCTTGAACTGAGGCAGGCATGTGGAAGAGGGGCATAAGGAAGAGGGGAGTGTTTGAAAGTGTTCCCTTGATGAGTGTCAATCTATCAGCAGAGGACAAGAAACTCCCTTTCCACCCAGCTAACTGATGCAGGGAAATTTGAGGGAATAATGAAAACAGCAAGAAGCAAAGCCAAACACAATCACAATTCAAAGAAATCTAAGGTTTATTCTCCATACCCCAAGCTAGGGTTCCAAAAGCCAAAGCTTCTCTCTCTTTCAATTTCTAAAAATCATGTGAAACTGACCCTCTCAAGGGCCCCACACACCTCTTATAATTACAATTCAATGTTCAAAGACATTACATGTCCATAAAATGATTAAAACGACGTACACATCCTAACATAAACTTAAATATCGTAATGACAGTTTTGCTCTTGTGAACAGTACTCATGAATAGTACTCATAAAATAAATAAATAAACTATAAAAATCATAGAATTCCTAAAAACTAAAAAACCCTGGAAATAAACCCTAAAGCTAAAACTATAATATACATCTTTTAATATTGAATAAAAGTAAAAAATAAGCATAAGTTTGCCCTCCATCACCTTCTTTTGACTTTGTCGACTATGAACTCCATTGATTGATTCTTGGTAAGGCAAGACCTAAAGGGAGACCCAAATAAGCGGAAAGAAGGTCGTCTATTGCGCACCCCCCATCGGTCAGCCAGGGTTTGGACTAGGGAGCTTTCGATGCACACCTCCATCATTTTAGATTTCTCTAAGTTGACCCTGAAGCCAATGGCTGGCTCAAAGCATTGTAGACTTGATGTTGGGAGGCATTACAAAAAAGGAGGGTGTCGTCGGCATATTGAAAATGGGAAATAGTTGGGCCTGGCCTTCCTGTGTGGAAGACTGTGAGAAAGACCCGCATGGTACATTCTCAAGATGGAAGCACTAAACACCTCAACTACTAAGGCGAAAAGGAAGGGAGACAGGGGGTCTCCCTGTCGTAGACCTCTCGAGGACTAGAATGGTTCCGATATGCATCCTTGGATCCATTTTCTCCAAGTGACCCCAAAGCTCATTCTGTGGAGGGTATCGTCCAGGATCTTCCAATTAACATGATCATAAGCTTTCTCCCAGTCAAGTTTAGTAATTAGACTTGGGATTTTGAAAGATGGCAAGAGTGATCCATTCATGGGCTATAACAGCACCATCAAGGATTTGCCGGTCCTTTACAAATGCCACGTAAGTGGGGGATATAACCCAACCTAGGACATTCCTAAGACGAAAAGCGAGAACATTGGATAGAATTATATAGGTGCTATTGATTAGACTTATGGGTCTAAAATCTCTAAGTTCTTCAGCTCCTTTGACCATAGGTATCAGTGCAATAAAAGTAGCAATGGATTTATTAAATGTTTTGGAGCACACTTACAATAAGTAGAAGGGATAGTAAATCACAGACTTGTAAAAACACACACACATACAAAGGCTAAGGTTCGAATGGGTTATGAAGGGTGGATTTATTGAATGTTTTGAAGCACATTTATTAGTATGTAGAAGGGACAGTAAATCACTGACTTCTTACAAGACATACATCATTTCACTAAATGGCTTCGGATGTTGGTTGTGTTGGATGTCCAAATAATTGATGCTCAATGACCGGTTATTGTGTGTTCTTGGGCCCTAAATGTGTTCTTGTCTAACCTTTCCGCTGGCAGAAAGTGACGTAGATTTACGATATTATTCACTAGAAGGTCGACTTAGGAGCCACGCATATTGTTCATGTAAAGTGTCTAGATCAATTGGTGGATATCGTTACCAAAGCACTTCCTAAGTATTGTATTCAATGGCTTAAAGCAAGCTGGGCGTTCGATCACTCTTCACTGCCCATCTTGATGGGGAGTGCCAAGATATAAATTTATTTGTTACATATACATCAGTTGGTGGATGATTTACGAATGCACTTCCTAAGGATTGTTTTCAATGGTTTGAAAGCAGGAGGGTCATCCACCATGATTCACTATCCATCTTGATGCGGAGAGTTAAGATATAAATGTATTTGATATATATATATATATATATATGTGTGTGTGTGTGTGTGTGTGTACGTGTGAGTGTGTGTAGATGTATCTATGTG